GCCTCATGTCAAGGGTCATATATTTCCGACAATTATCTTCCTAGTACGCAACTATATGGGTTAACATTTGTTCCGGAGAGAGCGTGCGAACGGGAGAAAATTGCTGAGATGAGAATGTCGTTGCGTTACAAGCACATATTTTTGCGACATTATCTCCAAGTATAAGTAAAAATATAGCAATTCGAGCTATAGAAAACGCGAATGAATAGAGGTAAAATAAGAATTAAAAGACCAAAACGATGAAAATGGAGAATTTACAATAAAAAAGAAGAAAAAGAAAAAAAGACGAAAAATGAGTCGCAATCAACTTTGAAAGAGAACACAAAATTTGTCTCAAGTTCCTTCAGGACACTCCCTCCAGACCTCCTTTTCCTCCTCCTCCTGCCGGTCCACCACCGCTCAGATTTACCGGCATTCTGACGCCTCTTAACGACCCGATCTGCCCTCCTCAGTTGCCGACCATTTTGGCTGCCAAATTACATTACAGAGAGAAAACGGCTGTCTCAGGGAAAACGGGAACAGCCACCGGAGGGGAGGGGTGACTGGGAGGGGGGACGAGGAGGAGGAGGAGGAAGAGAGGAGGAAGAGGAGGAGGAGGAGGAGGAGGAGGAGGAGGAGGGGAGGAGGAGAGGAGTGAGGAGCAGGGAAGGAAGAGGAGGAGGAGGAGGAGGAGGAGGAAGGAGGAGGAGGAGGGAGGAGGAGGAGGAGGAGGAGGAGGAGGAGAGGAGGAGGAGCAGGAGAGAGCAGCAGGAAAAGGAGGAGGAGGATGATGATGATGATGATGAGAGGAGGGGGTATTACTACAGTGAAAAAAGGGAGAGCAGATGTAATGCCGAAAGAAAGAAGTGAGTATTAGTGTAACACAACGAGAAAAAATGGGAGGGTCGATATAACAGAAAATGAAGTGTTGGGAGGTTGATATAAACACAGGTAGAATAGCGAGAGAAGATGAAGTGTTGGTAAAATGGGAGAGTAAATATATAATCAGAAAGAAAGAGAAAGTATATCTATGGAAGGATTCAGAAAGAGAATATAAATAAATATATATATATATATACACACACACGCATACATATGTACATTCATACATATATACCCCCCCCCACACACATACACAGACACACATATAATATAATATTTCAAGAAGGCGGAATGTTGATGACGATGATGATAATGATAATGATGATAGTTATGATAATAATAATAATAGTGATAACAGCAACAGCAGCAACAATAATGATAGTAATATTGATAATGACAATAGTATTGCCAATAGTGATACTAATCATCATGACAATAGCAATAATAACAGCAACAAGAACAATAATGATGATGATAATAATATTAATGATGACGATGATAATGATGATAGTAATAATGACAATAGAAATATGATAACGATAATAGCTACAAAATGATGTTGATAATATGAACAATAATAGATGATGATTATAATGATAATGATAATTACAATGATAATCAGTGTTAGTGTTATTAAATTGCTGTACTATATCACTACTATCATTCTTATCTACAATGACGGTAGCAATGATATCAATGATACTGATAACAGAAATAAAATAATGAGGGTAATAATGATGACACTGATAATAATGATATTGATGATGATAACTATGATAATGATCATAATAATAATTACAGTAGCAATAACGATGATAACAATATAACAATAACAATAATGATAATAACAAAATAACATTAATAACAATAATGATAATAAAAAATAACATAACAATAATGATAATAACAAAGTAACTTTAATAACAATAATGATAATAACAAAATAACATTAATAACAATAATAAGGAAAACATAGAAATAATTGACAATGATAACAACAACTATCACAGTTACCGTTGTCTTTATCGTTTATGAAATTACTTTTATCACCGTCACCCTTCGTCTTCGCAATCTCTGTGACTAATATCGCTGTAAATGTCGTTATCGCTATTATCTCATCCTTTACTTGTTATCATTATCGCTATTCTTAGTCATGTTATCAATATTACCTTCATGGATATCATTATCATTCCTGAGGTATTAAGCACAATCTCAGTCTTGTTCTTGTTATCATTACTTGTACAACAATATTTTTTTGTTATCAGGATCATTATAATTATAATTAGAGTCATTTGTATTATTGTAGCTTAGTATTCCTGCTTTTATTATGATTACTTTTGCCTTTGTTATCATTGCTACTATTAATATGTTTATTGATGTTGTTATCACTAGCTTTATTACCGGTAGAAATATTAGCAATATCATCATAATTAATATAATTGAATATTGGAATTATCGTCATTATAATAATTATGACTGAATATTGTAATAATTATGATAATTGCAATCTTGATAATCATAATCATCATCGCTGTCATAGTATATAATGGTTATCATCACCGCCGTTATCATATTATCAAGTAGCATTAATATTTTTATTGTTTGATCAGATTATTAGAGAAATCATAAACAAGCTATCGGTGACAATTTTGATGATGAGCATAATGATGATGATGACGGTGATGTTAATGGTGATGATGATGGTGATAGTGCTAATGATGATAATGATAATAAACATGACAATGATAACATCAATAATGATGAAGAGGATGATAATAATATTAATAATTGCCATTATTATTATTATTAAATTTTTTATTCATATTGCTATCATTGTTATTAATATCACTATTATTACTATAGATTTTATCATTATCATCAGTATTGTTTTTGTTGTTGATATGATTATTATAATTATTATTATTGTTATTGTTGTTGTTATCATTACCATTATCATCACTATTATTAGCATTATTGCTATCATTATTCTTATTATTTTCATCTTATTCTTGCTATCAATGTGATCATCATTATTATTATTATCATTATTACTATAATTATTGTTTTTAAAGTTATTGTTATCATTATCATTATTATTGATATTACTATCATTGTTATTCTATCGTCATTGTTATTATCTTTATTATCATTATGATTATATCATTATTATTATCCTAATTATTATCATCATTTTATTACCAACATTATTACATTTATTATCACTATTATTAGCATTATTACCATAATTATCATTATAACTGTCATCACTCTTATTACTTGTATTATCATTATTGCTGTAATCGTTATTACAATCATTGTTATCATTATCATTATTATTATTATTATTGCTATTGCTATTATCATCATCTTTATTATCATTATTATTATAGTCATTATCATAGTTGTTGTTATCATTATTACTGTTATTATTACTATTACCATTATCTTTATAATTATTATTAATATCATCATGACTATTATTGTTATTATCATCATGATCATCAGTATTAATGTTATTATAATCTCCATAGTTATTATCATTATTGCTACTGATATAATATCATTATCACCATTATTAACATTATCATCATTATTTTCATTAATATTATCATACTAACTGATACAATTATCAGAATTATTATCGTTACTATCATCATTACTGTTTTCACCATTATCCTTATTATCAATATTATTACTATAATAACTAGCATGATAAATTTCTAGATCACTGCCTACGCCATTATAATTATTACTTGCTTTAACATTGTCTATAGTAATCACTTACCTTTAATTCATTGACACTGACAATGATAGTTATAATGATAATGATAACAATAACAATAATAATGATGAAAGTAACAATAATAATGATATAAATAATGATGATGATGATCATATTACCATGTCAAGACGAAAATTAATCCTTATTATCAATCTGTGCAATTGATAAATTCACTTGCAATGTTTAAGCGTATAGTATGTCTGCATGTGTGTATTATCGCTCCCTGTTGTTTTTATCTATATCATTATGGTTATCATCATTATGGATTATTTTTATTATCATAATTATCATTAACCACTATCTTCTTCATTACTTTAACAGAAAATGTAAAAATGATCTTTTTACTAATGTAATAATTACCTTCTCGCTGATATCATTCTTCCTTGTGGGATTACTTATCCGAAGGCCAGTGAGATAATATTTACGTAGGTAATAAGCCTAAGCCAGGGGTAAATCCACCTCCTTATCCCTCTCCCTCTCTTCCTTTCTCTAACTCCTCGTTTCTTCATTTCGCTTCAAGTCTTAGATTGCTTCTAATCTCCCCTTCGCTTCCCCTTCCTCCTCCTCCTTCCGCTTCTCCTCCATGTTGCTCTATGTCGGTGTTTCACGGCTCGCTGGCTCACCACATGGCCTCCTCTTCATCCTCTTAAAGCATGCGAGACATCATGGCTCCCGAAAAATACTCGAGGCTCAACCAGAACCACTCAGGAATTCTTGAACGTTGCTAAATCTAAATACGAAAGAGATTCTATATTTTACCTTGCCACGGGCCTCACGCCGAGGGGTGCCATGGGAATATCATCCCTTTAGCCCCATCCCGATAAGGATCAAATTCCCCTCCGAACGCGGCCTAATACCCTAAGTTCCCCGGGCTCCGTCACCGTAAATAAAACTCGCCGGGATACGCTTGGAAAATGGCTGAATAAATACTCATAGCTTGGGTTTGTATCATAGCCGAGGAGGAGCCGCGCCGCGCATCATGATGAGTTAAAGTTTAGCTCTGTCTTCGTCCCTCCTCGCCCTCTCCTACCCCTGCCCCCTCCCCTTCGGCGGTCAGGTGCTCCCCCCCCTCACTTTCTTTATAGAGTGGATGACTCTATTTGTCAACACTTGCATGCTGGCTTCTCATTCCATCTATTCTCCCAACAGCCAATTTTCTCTCGAAATGAGAACTCCCGCCACCCAGCACCCCCGCCTGCAGCATCAACCACATTCCAAACTTGATAAACCATTGATATCATAACTACCAAACAAAAATTAGTAGACATTCTATCGCCCTCTAACTCTACACAAACAAATGGATAAATGTACAAGAAAAAAATGCTTCTTTCCCCTGACTGAAGCGAAAGAGGAGTACCTGCACTCTGGCCTCCGAGAGACCCAGGCGCTGCGACAGCTCCTCCCTCATGAAGGCGTCCGGGTAGTGGGTCTCGTCGAAGAGCCGCTCCAGTTCGTTCAGCTGTTCGAGCGTGAAGTTTGTACGTGACCGTCGCTGTTTCACCTGGGGGGGAAGAGATGTAAAGTGAGGGAGAAAACGGGGAGCAAGGCGTGGAATGCGGTTGGAATAGACGAAATACAAGGGATAAGGAACAGGTGTAATGATACGGGCTCAGAGACTACGAGAAAGAAGGCCTTGTGTGGATCCCAAGAGCCATCCATCTTCATCACGTCAGTATAAAAGCCAAGAAGTCCAAACGGGAAGGAAATCAAGCTGCTCCGCTTTCTATGAGCCTCGCGAGAACCCAAGAACCAGCACCGCCTTTTTAGAGCGAAGAGAAAACTCCCGACGAAGACCTACCTTCTGGTGTGAAGATTCCTCTCGCGTCTCGTGCTCTCTCTTCCCTTGGCTTGGCTGGGTCATGGGCGTCGGCGTCTGTGAAGGGGTTGTGGGCGTAGGCGTGCTGACGGCTGTGGGCGTGGACTGGGCCGGGTTGTCATCCTCTACTTTGACGTTGAGTCCTGCTGAGGCGGAAAGAATGGTATTAGACGACTGACGCGTTCAGCGGCTGTCACTCGGGGCGCCGTGAGTGTGAGGATTCTGGAAGTAATCCGAAGAGACTTTTGTTTGGAATTCCGTTGGTGGGGGAGCCTTAACGGCCAGGGAGGGGGGGGGATGTTATGATTTTTTTTTTTTGAATCATGATAAGGTAACTTTGCATTAATGCACTGATAATCATATCAATAATGATGATGATGATAAAAAAAACAGAAATAATAACAATAATGATAGTAATGATAATGCTAATAGTATTGATAATGACAGTAGTAATGATAGTGGTAATAATCATGATGTTAATGATAATAATACAAATGATATTAATGACACTAATGGTAGCAATGATAATGAAAAATACCACCACAACCAACAGCAAAACAACAACATCAATAATGATACCACTAATAGTGATAACAATAATGAAAATAGAAATATTAATAATAATGATAATAATGATACTAATAACAGTAATAGTAATGATAATAATAGAGATAATAATGATGATACTAATAACAGTAATAATAATGGTAATGATAAAAATAATAATGATAATACTAATACAGTAATATGTTAATAATAATTATAATAATGAAAATAATTATTATCATCACTATCATAATGGCGATGATGATGATAATGAGATAATAATAATCACCATTATCATTATCATTGGAGTTGTTACTGGTATTCTTATGTTAATTATGATCATAGACATACATACATATATATGCATATGTAGGTATATATATATATATATATATATATATATATATATATATATATATACACACACACATATGTATACATATATATATATAATATATATTATATATATTATATATATATATATATATATATATATATATACATATGCATATATATGTATGTGTTTATGATCATAATTAACATAAGAATACCAGTAACAACTGATGATAATGATGATGGTGATTATTATTATTATTATTATTATTATTATTATTATATATATATATATATATATATATATATATATATATATATATATATATATACGTATGTATATGTATAAATGTATATATATACATATATATATATATATATATATATATATATATATATATATATATATATATATATATATATATATATATATATATATATTATATATATATATGTATATTCATATTTAGATACGCATACATATATACATACACACACAAATATATATGTACACATATTTACATATATTACATACATATATACATATATTGTATGTACTGGGTGTGCGTCACAGAGGCGAACAAATCTAAGGATCTCATTTATCACATTTAACTTACTGAAAAAGAATCTCTCCGAGCACAAAATCCTCATAACAAGCGAATCCCACTTTTCCAGAACCCAACACAACAACAACAACAACAACAACAGCAACAACAACAGAACTGCATAGGCCTCCCCTCCCGCGCAGTAGGCCTCCGTAACTTGCGAGAGCGCCTTGGCTACAGAATCAATAGCCCGGGCATTATGAGTGTTCTCCAGACTACAGCCGTCACTAATAGAATTACCGCAGCTTATGCCATCCCGTGGTCAGAGATTTTCGTGGGTTTTTCTTTATTGCGATTAAAAAAAGAAAGAAAAATAAACGAGGTACGTGTGGTTATGTTGTTTTTGGGTGCTGTTTTTAATCTATTCTTAACCGTTGGATGAAATTCCTGGTAAGAGCGTATATAAAAATGGTGGAGCGATAATTCTCGAAATGCGTACGGAGATAGATAACATCTGAAGATACCAAACATCTATTTTGGACAAATAAAAGAAGACAAAGAAATACAAACTCCTCACAAAAGAAATATAAACACATCACGCAAGAAAATAAACAAAAGAACCAACCCCTCAAAAAGCCCGCCAAAACAAAAGAAACACGAGGCCCGCCACGGATAATCAACAGAAGTACGAGATGCGCATTAGGATTCCAGCGGCGACGTCCCTGATCCTCAGCGACACGAGAGCTAATTCAATTGGTCATGTATACGATCAGATTCCAATTCAATTAACAATTAATTAGATGAGCCATCGGAGGACTTTCTTCCTTTACTGTTCTGCTCTGGTGACCGTTCCAGGCATCAGGGGTCTAGGCGGGGAGAGCGGGCGGGGCGCTGTGTGGAGGCTGTAAATCTCGGCCATTCATTTTCGAGATTAACACTGAATAACGGGGAATTACTTCTACAGCCGACGCTGCTGGGCTTGAGAGCAGCGGGTTTGGAAGATAATGAAATAAATGAAATGGAATTATTTGAAGGATGATGAGATAAATCCCGACGTTAATGTCCTTGTTATCATATTTGAATCACGACTACTGTGAATATAGAAATTATATAGACGTATG